GGATGGCAGTTAACATGTCATTACAACCACAGCATTCATTCGTCCACCTTATCAATTATTTCAGAGTTCATGATTCTAGGACCTAATCTAGGTTATTGAATTTAATCTCATTTTTTGGCGTTAAGTGGTATCCTCATATGGGTAAATCTTGCATGAGTTTTGAATGTGAAGGACAATCCTAGAAACTTCTTGATTATTAACACTCCTAAGATTGTGAATCATGTTTGTTTTTAACTGAAAATTCTTTTGCACTGTGGCACGCAGATTGTGAAACATCATGCACAAGAGATTGCACTTCAAAGACGAGTGTTTGTTGATTTCTTTTGCAATCCGGAGCGTTTGAGGAGCCAGGTTAGGGAACTGACTGCTCGTGTCAGGGCCTTGCAAGTTTCGTAACAATCATATGTTGTATTATATATTTTCCATTCATACGGTTTTTTTTTTTTCTTTTTGGTTCCTTTAGGGTTTGATTTTTCTTGTCTAAATTAGATTCTCTCTTTGAAGTTTTATGTAATAGTGGATGCCCTTGTGGCGGTCTTATCCAAATGGGGAATGAGCTATGGTCCATACCTGTGTTGTAAGTTGTGAGCTTTGCGTACTTGCTGGTGAGTTTGTGTATATAAAGTTATGTTTTATTGACTGTTCAGAGAGAAAGCCTTTTGGGTGTGAATCAATGAATTAAAAACCAAACCAGCTGGTTCAGGTCAGAAACCGGCCAACCCACCAGTTTTTCTTCTGGTTTATCACCTGAATGGGAAAAAAAATTAAACCGGTACGAAGTAGACTTACCTGGTATGAACCTGAAATAACTCGTGAAAACCGCTGGTCTGAGTGGATCATCTGATTCAATATTTTTTTCTTACTCAGAACATTCAAGAGTCATCAGAAATAAGAAGAAAGTTCATCTGAAAAATAGAGTAAGAGGGAGAGAAAGAAGAGAAGGAAAATAAGAAGAGATACAAAAAATAACTCACTGGAAGAGAAAATTTCTGAAAAATCATGATGAAAAATGAAGTGAAAAACTTCTTTTAAAAGGTAGAGAGGATAGAAGAGGGAAGAAAATATGTTTCAGGAGGTGAGCACTTGAGTTTTTTTTATGTGAGATGAAGATCGGAAAATAAAGAAAGGAGTTCCGATGAGGCCACAATCCCAGTATTCAAAATGAAAATGAAAAGATGGAAAAGGCACTAATGACAGTTGACATGTTGCAGGCAGTATTAGTACTCTTTCTTCATTTTTCGTTTTCCAAAGCCAAGTCACCCATTTTCTATGCAAACATATGTTTATTTAATGAGATATTTTTAAATATTGTTTCTATTAAAATATATTTTTAATAAAAAATGAATATTTTTTAAATTTTGTTTAAATTATTTTGGGTTAATTAATCCGTAAGTCCTTATAGTTTCAACGAATTTTAAATCAGGTCCCTATAGTTTTGTTTCTTTTTATCAGGTCCTTATACTTTTATCTTTTTTTAATTAGGTCCTTGTATTTATTTTTCTTTTAATTAAGTCCTTATAATTTTACTAAATTTTTAATCAGGTCCATGTAGTTTTAATTTTTATTTATTAATTAAATATAAGCTTAATTAAATAGATTAATACTGAAATATAACATATTAATAATTAAATTAAATTAATAATTATGTAATAAAAAAGTAATAGAATTAATTAATTCAGGAAATTTTTTTAGAACAATTAATTTTTTTGCTGAAAAAATTAAAATCATTATAATAATTCAATATCTTTAGAATATTATTGTTTATAAACTAATATTAAATAATATATACTATTTTATGTTTATAGAATAGTACTATTAGAATTTATAAAATAAAGAATAAAAAATTCAGGGACTTAATTAAAAATAAGGTGAACTTATAAGGACTTGATAAAAAGAAAAATAAATACAAGGATCTAATTAAAAACAGGTGAAAGTATAAGGATCTGATAAAAAGAAAAAAAACTATAAGGACCTGATTCAAAATTAGCTAAAACTATAAGGAGCTGTGGATTAATTATCCCAATTATTTTTTTAAAATAATCACCGGTTTAATTTCGACTTGACCCATTGATCTTTAACTCATTATCTTGACTGGTTTAATGCTTGGTCCGGTATCTTGTTTTTTGGTGTGAATTGAGCAGTAAGGATATAGCCTTTCTATTCAAGCTTGATATGTTCAAATAACTATATATTAATTCATGCATGTCTGATTTCTTTTAGTGTGCTTAATAGCTATAAATTACATTATTGGTGAATAAATATTTATTAAGAATTAATGCATGAATTAATAAGAAAATGGGTAAAAATGTCACTATCTTGATAATTATTTAGATATATGGTATTGCATTTTTAAAAAAAAAGAAAAAAAAATTAAAGCTCTTTCTTCTTTCTTACTTCTCTTTAATGGGCAGTAAAGTTTGGAGAAAACTGATAGAATCCTTGGATGTTATTTGGTTATATGATGAGCAGAATTTTTTTTTTGTAACGTTATATAATTAGGTGGCTAACATAGTTCGACATATTTTTATCGAGAGAGCTGAGGTGAACAACCCAGAAATTGTAAGACATTTTTATTTGGATTGAAGTTTATTGTGTACCACCGGGGGTAAAAATGGAAAAAACATTCATATAGATTCTTATAAGTGTATCAAAATGAAAATTTAATGATTTTAGTAGATGCTTGCTTTTGCATTTGAATAAAAAAAGTCTTATTATCATGATAAACGTGTTTCATGTCTTGAACAGGATTTGAGAAATAAATTGTACGAGTAGTATTTATGATTTATATATTAAAATTTTTATATTTTACATTAATTATTCTGTGGTTATAATAAGTGCAAAGATCTAGAAACAACGCTTAAATAGGCCAGACAAATTCATGGCCACCAGCAAAACGATAATTCAAAAAGGGGATCATCATATGAAAAATATATCAAAGATGATCTTTAGCTTTAATTTAATTAATAACTAATATTCAAGATTTGATTTTTGGCCAAAGTTTCATGATGTCTAAAGCTTTTATTATTTGTAGAATTTTAGAATGATGTTTAACGAACATGATGATTATCACCTACACTTAATAATTAAGGAGGCAGACCAATGAGGCATACTTTTGAGTTGAAGTTGGATTTTAGAAAACTAGTCGTATTAGACAATCTTATAATAATTAGAATTATGAAAATAATTAAGTGCACTTTTTAATTTGTTTGATGCATTTAGGGCAATATTTACATCAAATTCATTATATCAATTATGTCAACTGTTAAATTCTCCAATCACACATGATATATATTTTATTTTTGAAATGTTAGTATTTATTATAAATCTATATGAAAATAGAGGTCACATCACCATATATGATTAGAGAATTTGATATAATAGATATAATAAACTTGACCTAGGTTTTTTCTATCAGTTTATAATATTTTGAAGGAAAAATGACAAATAAAGACCCCATAATATATGAAATTGTGATTTGGGACCATCAATTTAGAAAATAATAAATAAAGACCTGGTCTCATATTGTTAATATGAAATTTTGGTAAAATGTTTAAAATGCCCCTCAGCCAAATGATAAGTTGACTATGAAAAATGACAAGTTTACTTTAGCGAATGACAACTTCAGTAGACCAAATCACAATTTGGTTGAAGGGCCTTTCAGACATTTACCAAGGTTTCATATTTATGATATGGAACCAGGTCTTTATTTGTCATTTTCTAAATTGAGAGTTTCAAATCGCAATTTCACATATTGGAGGGTTTTTATTTGCAATTTTTCCCATTTTAAACTGAATGTAAATTAATCTCATATTTTAATTTTATTTACTCATCATAAACTAGAAGTTGTGTCCCAACTTTTCTAGAAGGTAGTCCTCCAAAATTAATTTCCAGACAATTATTGAAGTGCTAAATTAATTATCCTATTTATTACAACACTCTACCAATATATACTCTTAAAAATCAAAAACCAATATGAATATCTTTTTGTCCAAAAGGCAATGCTTCATTAAGATGGAGACTAATGGCTGTAACATCAAAAGCAGTTTGAGTTGTGGAGATTATATATATGTATGGATAAAATATCAACCACCCACACTATTTGCATCTAATCTTATTTGCCTTAATTAGCAAGTCTTAACCGTGGGAGGTTGAAGCCTTCTTGACTACCAGCTACAAGGTTGCTTCATTTAGTATGTTATATTTCTAATTATAAGATTGCAAGGGATGAATTTCTAAACCAAGTATTTGTTTCATGTTTTTCAAACTCCTCATTATAAAACGATCAAATTGATTTTTTTTTTTTAAAAAAAATGAAACTTCATTGGAAGGTTATTGTTTTATACATTTGGTAAAAGGTTAAATATGATCTCTACAAAATAAACTGAATCAATTACATGGGACAATATATCACATCCGGGAATAAGCACCTGTTATAGCTAAATATATTTATTTATGATTGTAAAGAATTCAAATTCCCAACAAAACTAGCTGCCAAGGTTCATTGAAAAAGATGTAAAATCAGTTTTGATCCTTTTAAATAATTGGTAACATACCTAACCCAACCCCTGTTTTAATTTTGAAAATAAAATAGCTACCTCCTTATTAGTTATGGTCCTAAAAATCTTCGTCTTTTAGCATCATTGTCTGTGAATATAGCAATCGTAAAGATGTTGAACAATGACACAAGCTAGTTAACCGTTAGAATGTATTGTTGGACCAAATTGAACAAGCAAGAGTCATTTTCTAAAACAACCTACATACATTATATGATTAACGTAACTTAGCTTGAACCTCACTCTACGATTCAAAACATGTCAGGTTAATTAAGCCAGCAAGTAGATGGATCCAACATAGATCAATTCTTGAAACCAATTCATGTCTGTCTGCAACATATCATTTTCAGTCACCAAATTATATATCCAAACCCTTTCATCAATTCCCACTATATAAGCTCTCTCACTTATTCTTCTTCTCTTCATCCAAACAGGTTTTAGTACTTCATATAGCAACATTATCAGCATCAATGGCTTCTTCCAGCTTTATTTTGCCATCCGATAACTTGTTGAGAGCTGCTTATAATTGTCTTCTGCTTTGTGCTCTTCTGTTCTTGCCAGACCTGATACTTGCAAAGCATGCACAAGTCACAAGGCAACACAATTTTGAAGTACGTCCTGTTCATTTCAATTCATTAATTCATATGAACCATTCTGATGCAATGCAAAAAGGTAATTAAGGATTAATTTGTGATTATTTTTGTTTTTAATTTGTGCAGATCAAATTACAGAAGTTGACAAGGTTGTGTCAGACAAAGAGCATTGTGACTGTAAATGGGCAGTTTCCAGGGCCAAGAATCATAGCAAGAGAAGGAGATAGGCTTGTGATCAAAGTGACTAACCATGTTCAGAACAACATCACCATCCACTGGTATGTACTATGGACAACAAGAAAATGAAACTTCATTCTATCTGAGACAAGTGATAATTGTTTTGATCATAATAATTTGGTTGCAGGCATGGTGTGAGGCAATTGAGAAGTGGTTGGGCAGATGGACCTGCTTATATCACACAATGCCCAATTCAAAGTGGCCAATCTTACACTTATAACTTCACTGTTACTGGTCAAAGAGGCACATTGTGGTGGCATGCTCACATCTCATGGCTCAGAGCTACTCTTTATGGTCCCATCATCATTTTCCCTAAGAAATATATCCCTTATCCATTCCCTCAACCCTTCAAAGAAGAAACCCTCACATTTGGTAACTATATATTTTACATATATATTGGTCAGTTTAAGTTATCTCAGTAATCATCAGTTATTTTGACAAGGATATGGATGTTATCTGAAAATTGCAGGAGAGTGGTGGAAAGCAGATACAGAAACTGTTATTAATCAGGCAATGCAAACTGGATCAGCACCCAATCTCTCCGATGCTTACACCATTAATGGCCTTCCTGGTCCTCTCTACAATTGTTCTTCCAAAGGTATATATATCATGTTCTTACTTAGATGATAAAACTCTTAATACTAGTTGGTTTGATTTTCTCGGAATGTACATTTGTGTGTGTGTGTGTGTGTGTGTGTGTGAAATATGCCTTTTGATATAAATTATTGTTCTCCTTCATGCAGATACCTTCAAGCTTAGCGTGGAACCAGGAAAAACCTATCTGCTTCGTTTGATTAATGCTGCACTGAATGACGAGCTTTTCTTTAGCATTGCCAATCACACACTCACTGTCGTAGAAACCGACGCTGTCTACGTAAAACCTTTCGAAACAAACGTTGTCCTCATCACACCAGGTCAAACTATGAACGTCCTTCTCAAAACAAACCCTAACCCACCAAACGCCACCTTCCTCATCGCTGCTAGACCCTATGCAACCGGTCCGGCCACCTTCGACAACACCACCACCGCCGGGGTTCTACATTACGAGAATAAGTCACCGCCAACACTAAACCCTAATCAAAAGAACCACAAACTTCCTCTCTTTAAACCATCTCTTCCAAAGTTCAATGACACAACATTTTCAATGAACTTCAACAAGAAGATTCGAAGCTTAGCCAACGCAAAATTCCCAGCAGAAGTTCCAAAAACTGTTGATAAACGCTTCTTCTTCACCGTAGGGCTAGGAACTCTCCGGTGCCCACCAAACCAAAAGTGCCAAGGACCTAACAACACAAGAGTCGCAGCTTCCGTTAACAATGTCTCTTTCGTGCAGCCAAACGTAGCTTTACTTCAAGCCCACTTCTTCAACAAATCCAAAGGAGTATATACCACTGATTTTCCTATAAACCCACCTTTCAAATTCAACTACACTGGGACCCCACCGAGCAATATTGTGATGAACACTGGGACTAAGGTGGTGTTGTTGCCTTATAACACTAGTGTGGAGCTTGTTCTTCAGGACACAAGTATTATCGGTGCAGAGAGCCACCCACTTCACATTCATGGATTTAACTTCTTCGTTGTGGGTCAAGGTACTGGAAACTTTGACTCTAAAAAAGACCCTTTGAAGTTCAATCTGGTTGATCCCGCTGAGAGGAACACTGTTGGTGTACCATCTGGTGGCTGGGTCGCTCTTCGTTTCCTTGCAGACAACCCAGGTTAGTGCAACAACTCAAAAAGATACAGGAAAAAAAAGCTTTGAATTTCAAAATTCTAAATTAGAAATTACTACATTTTGAGTATACTCAATTTTTTTACGAATATAATAACAAATACTGATTTAGAATTTTGAAATTCAACAATCATTTTCTTAAATTTTTCTAAAGATATAATATACATTTATATATGTAAAGTAGGCCCAGTGCACAGCTCCTAATAAATACAAAGAATAGATGGACACGCCTTTATCCATAAGGAGAGAGAGGCTGTTTTTAAGATTTGAACTCTCACAACTTTACTATTACACTGAGACTCTTCCTCTTAGATATATATATATATATATAAATATATATATAATGTAATTGGTACGTATGGTTAATTATAAGTTATCATAAAATTAATATCTATATATATATATATATATTGTTTGATTGAGGGGTGTTGTTTGGGCTTGTAATGTAGGGGTGTGGTTCATGCACTGCCACCTTGAGGTGCATACAAGTTGGGGCTTGAAGATGGCTTGGATTGTTCAAGATGGAAAGGGACATCATCAGAAGCTGCCACCTCCACCATCTGATCTTCCCAAATGTTAATCAAACTATTGATATGTCTTTTTGGAGCTAGGGTTAATCACTTATTCTTTTGTTCACTGTTATTTGAAGTTAGTTTTAGGCAATTGATGAATTGTGAAAGACTTTTGTCTGCCTTTTTTTTTTCCACCAAGGAATGAAAGATGATCCAAGAATTTGTTGAAGTTGAACATTGTGGATTGTTTCCGTTGAAAATTATATTTCACGAACTCATAGACATAATGAAACAACTAGTGTGGACCCTGAAAATCATATATTGCTTGAGTTAACATATAGACTACTTTCGGTCAAAATAGCTCATAATATCATCCGTACAACACGGGGAAATTTTTTTGAAGAAATGACTATATAACCTAGGTTCAAGAGAAATTTAAATTTTAAAAAAAATCAATTATTCGAGGCCCGATAAAACAAAAACGTACGTCTAGAAACGCTTTTATTTTTATATGATGTCCCATGGAATTTGACAGCATAAATGATGAATGTTCTCATGATTTGCAAAGCGCACTAACTCATCTCTTGTTATTTACCCTGCGATGGTAATGTCCATAGTCAAAAGGCAAATGATTTTTATAAAAGGTATATAATTAATCGTTAGCTCAGTTACCCAGTTTATCCTTAAATTAAGGGTTCGTTTGGCGCATATTAAAAGCCATAAGGTAATTATACACACATTATTGGTTTATCAGTTATTTGGATTTTGGTGCACATGATATATCGTGTTGACTTATAATACAACATACTACATCCGGTCCTAAGAACTAATTAACTAATTTGAGTAGATTAAGAAAATAAGTTTAGTTAGTTAGTTGTAATAAACAAGTATTATTTTTTCTAAAATATTCTTACTAATCAAGTGTAATGGTTAGAATTACTATTATTAGAAAGACTATCTTAAAAAATAGATAAATATGAAAGACAAAATAGGAGTTTTATATTTAGGACCAAAATAAAAGTCAAATAGAATCTTATATGGTTATACTAAGTACTAGAGATAGTAACTCTTTTATACATCAAAACAATACATATAATCTTATTCATGCCAAAGTAATGAGATTGGGAATTCCAAATATGTTACTCAAATTTCCTATTTTCTCTTACAATGCAGACCCTCAAGTCTTGGGGGCTCTCCCACGGGTTTCCCCCAACCTTGGCCTTATTTTATTAAGGGTATTGCCAATAGGATATGTAGTATATACTTTTCTGTTTTGTAGTAAATTTTAATTTTACACACACACGCCCAAATAAATATATATACCATATTCTGCACTGAGACATGTAGTAAACGCTTGTCCGTATTGTAATTGCAGCACTAGAAAATCTCATACCCCACAAAACTCCTTGTATTATTGAGTAATCCATAAGCAGACACATTGGCAACTAATAATGATGTTTACACAATCTTAAACTTACACCAAGACCTTAGAAACGTAATAATATCATCACATACAGTATCACAAGTACAATCACAAACACTGATCAGACTCAGCAATTGGAAGGAAGAGTGAGATTGCACTTAGCAGGAAGAGAGAGGGCGAGATTAGGATCAATCCCGAAAAGAGGTAACTCAGGTGAGTTCTTGTAAGAGCAAAGGCATTGCAAATCAGCCCCAGAAATTGCCTTACAACACTCAGCGGATGGATCCACTGGGTTTGGTTCAATCACTGATGGCTTGCAAGCTTCTATTCCTTCATCATTCATGTTACACAGACTCAACCCTCTTGATCCTCCCACAAATAAAACAGCCACCGCCACTGCCACCACCAACGCCGCCGTATTAATCTTCATCCTCGTCACCGTCGCCTCCATGTTGCTGAGATATTTATTACAAGAGGAATATATGATGATGATGACGACGACGACGACGATACTTCTTTAGTGGCTCCAACAATGTTGTTGTGCTGATATTTAAAAGAGGAAGGTATCAAGTGAAGAAGAAAGCAGAACCACAAGTTATGAACCCGTGAATGGCGAGACTTGAGATCACGAGGGACTTTCGCGACAGTGTAAAGTGGTAAAGTGGTCATTGGATTCCCTCCTTATCTTATAATTCAAATATCTATCGGAAATAATGGGATTTTTTTAAGGAAAAAATTAATCACCATGAGAACTAAAACTTTAAAAGAAGAACTATAAACACAACAAGGTCATAGCATATAACAACAGGTTTTGGATTTCTTCTTTAGGACTTCATAACAATTCTTTTTTTAGATAATTTTTATACTTCATTAGGATGTTGTAACTAAAATTACTTAAATAAAAGGTTGGAAATAAATTTTTATTTTAATATTGTTCCTTGTATAAATTGAATTTTTGAAATTTGATTTAGATTCAGATATTTTAATAAATTAAACATGCACTCGTGTGTTTTAATTTTAAGAAATGTGGGGAAAAAGAAATCCAGAGCAGAGTTAAGTGTAAACGTGGATGTCAAGTGACACATGAGGACAACTATGGGGCCAAAAGGCAGAAGAAATGGTTGAAAGTTTGCTCGTGAAAGGATTTGGAGGAATATTTCTTGTTGGAATTTGGCATCTAGTGGCCTTTTGAGTGCTTCTTTTTTCAGTTTTAATCATGCATGTCTCCATATATTTTCATTCTTTGAAACTGCAAAAATCGGATTTATGGGTCACCTTTCAGGCTTTCAGAGATTCTTATCGATATCCCCATATGAAATGTCACTGTGTAATCGACATCATCAATACAATGTGACTTATTTCAAATGTAACCTTTTTTATGTTTCATTTTCCGGATCATGCATCATTATATTTAGTTATATTTAAGTATTATATTGTTAGGTCTAGTTATAAATGTTTTTTTAAACATAACTTTTTTCTATTCATACTGTTTCAAATCCTCAATATTGGCTCGAAGGAAAGGGAGTAGTTCTTTTTCTTCGTCACAAGAATTTTTTTTTTTTAATAAATTCTGATTCTATATATTTGTGAGATAAATTATCACACTTATTAGCAAAAAAAGATAAAAATAGATCCTTAAAGGATCTAGGTCCTATCTCTCAGTAAAATATTGAGCTACAAGATTCCCACTGAACTTACTCTCCAACAGACCAACATCATCCAAGCTTGTATGAATCATCTGATTGATGATAATAATCCATGCAGCTTCATATAGAGAAGGCAAAGTAATTAATTACAATTTTATTATTGCTTATATATTAAGAGGTTATCCACTCTATGAGAACCAAAACTGGAAGAAAAGGCTTCGTAGCTTTTAAAGTGGATCTCAAGAAGACTTTCAATAGAGTTTTGTGAGATTCCATTGGGGAGACTCTTCAAATTATTATTAGTATCAATGATCAGTTTAAGAAGATCATCGTGGTTGGGTTATATCAGATGTTGATGGTTCAATTAACCATAATGGAGCTGCGTCATGTGGAGGGGCTATCCCATACATGATGATCAAGTGCAACTACTTCTAAGCTTTTAGGAATCCTTAAAGGCCTTAACCTTTGCTAGAATTATAAATACATACCCTCAAGTCATCGTGAACTCTAATTTGTTAACTCTAGTTTTCATAAGGTTCCTGCATTCATACAAAATGAGTTTCGTCCTTAGAATTAGGAAGATTAGGGAACTTCTTACGCAAAATTGGATGGTCACTTTTGATCATGTCTGTTCGATGTAGGAAAACAAATAATTGTATACAATTTGCACGCCAAAATATTAAAGAACGTTATCTATGCAACATGTGGTAATGAAAGCAGACGTTAGATTATCAAAACCAACCTTGAAGGTTTTAAAAGCCATATAAATATATATACTACCTCTGGTCCTTAATATAAGACCTTATTTGATTTTTATTCTGGTCCTAAATATAAGAACCCAATCCATTTTGTCTCTCATATTTACTCAATTTTTTCTAAGATAGTCCTTCTAATAATTATAGTTTTAGTCAGTACACTTGATTAGCAAGGATATTTTAGGAAAGACAACACCTATTTAGGACAAATAACTAACTCAACTTGCTTCTTTAATCTCCTCAAATTAGTCAACTGGCTCTTATAATTAGGACCGGAGGTAGTATATATATATGTTTGATGCATATCGTTAGGTACAAGAGAAATGAATAGGAGAGAAAAGGACGCGGGAGGGATATGGAGGGGACAGCTTTTCTTTCTCCTAACTAATATATCCACAATTTATTTGAATGCTTTTAAACTACCTCCTTTATTGAACGGTAAAAATACAAAGCAAAGGCATATATGTCTATGTACAATTATTTTGCCTTATCTCCTCTGCTTGAATCAAGCAGGTAAAAATGAAAGGTGAAGGATATCATAATCATGTTTAATATTCTTTCAGTCTGTTTTTTATGCTTCTTTTTCTGGATCATGTATCATTATATTTAGTTATATTTGAGTATTGTTAGGTCTAATTATAAATATTTTTTTAAACATAACTTTTTTCTATTCATATTGTTTCAAATCCTCAGTATTTGCTCGAAGGAAATGGAGTAGTTCTTTTCAGTTGAACCAGATGCCATTTCAGTTGTGTGCTTAAAGCTTTGCTTTTTATGCTTACAATTATATATGTAGAAATAATTTTTTTGTGTTGACTTTTATTTTATGTGATAAGCAATTTCAAAGTTTTTTGTTCGCCTGTCAATTACATGGATCGTAATTCCTTCTCTTTATTAATTTCTTTCAAACTTTGGGGGTGTTTGGCAAAACCAAAACCTAGGTTTCAGAAGCACTTTTCCGCAAAACGAGATAACCTCCTCCACATATTTATTTCGTAATCCGTAAAAGCACTTCTGAAACCATGGTTTGGTTTCTATCCAAACACCCCCTTTATTGCTCGGCCTGCTGGAACACATAATATTTTACGAGGGTTAAAACACACTTTCTCCTAACACCAATTCGTCACAAGAATTTCTTTACACACACACACATTTGTGAGATAAATGATCACACTTAATAGCAAAAAAGAAAACCGTCTATCCAGGAAGGATCTAAGTCCTATCTCTCTGTAAAATGAGCTACAAGGTTCTCACTAAACTTCTCCAACAGACCAACATCATCAAAGCTTGTATGAATCATCTGACCGGTGAAAATAATCCCTGCAGCTTCATATAGAGACGGCAAAGTAATTAGTGACAATTTTATTATTGCTTATACACTAAGAGGTTATCCACTCTATGATAACCAAAA